GTGTGGGGAAGATTCTGGTTGCTCGACGGCTATTGGAGAGGCTCTGACAATAGCTGAAAGAAGAGCTAGGGTTTATTTTCTTGCTCTGATACTATAGAAAGAGATTTCTTGGAGGAAAAAAAACTCTAATTTTCTCATCAAGAAAATAACAAATATATACAGCTCATACTTAGCCCTAACACAATTAGAGGAAAATTCAAATCATCATGGCAAGAAGGAAAGAAAAAAAAAACACAAAAATGGACAATTAATGGAAAATAATTTCGACCACCTCAAATATAGCAATGAACCCATAATTTCTTAAACCATGGGTGGGCCCATGAGGTCCACGATTATATGAATATCATCAGAGAATTTGGAATAACATAAATGTGAAGAACCAATAAGAAAAGCTCGGTGATGTCCATGGAGAAGAAATAATGAAGGAAATTAAACATAGGAAATCTTGGTGATGTAATTAAAACAATAAAATTCAAATTATATAATTTTGTACGGCAAGAAAGGAAGTTTGAATGATGTAAGAGGTTACTAACATTTTGCAACAGCTTCCTTATAAATAATCAAAGTACTACCATGTGATATTTTGAATTAATAAAACTATACTCCTCTAATTACACAACAAAGCACACGGAGACTAATTAAGCTTCGTTGAGTGAGAAGGTATTTAAAATAGATATCTCAGTAAAATGTAATCTTCACAGCCTGACCAATCAATATAGACAAAAATTGATCAAATCTAAGTTGACTGAGGCTTAGAACATAAATACGAGATTTTTTCTCCTTGTAAGAAATTTAAGATGTAAGTGAACTTTTACATAAGGCTGAAATACTTACCCAGCAACACAAAATCACAAGAAAAGTTAGCTGTAGCAGATTAAAAATCATTACGTAATGCTAGCTGATATTAGCAAACTAGAGATGTCATACCGGCAGATGCACAACTTCGGGTTTTTGACAAACTATTTCAACATAGCGTAGCTTCTCGTAGTAAAAATCTCTTTCTTTCTCCATACTCTCCAATGAAATCTTCATTTCTTTAATCTATATAACATAGGAAAAGGCCTGACCATATATTAGAACTCGTTTAAAAGAACACTATTTCCGTTTAAGAATAAGGGAAGTAGGCCATTCTTAAACCTCAAAATATGTCATTTAGACATAGCTGAGTAGCTTAACTGCTACTGTACGGATAGATTAAAACACAATAAAAGTCTACCTACTGAAATGAGACAACAATTTTAAAAAAAGGAAAACTGCAGAGGTTTAGAAGGCTTAGCATCGAAACCAACCAGGAACATAATTTTTAGTTTGTAATACCTTCTCAGATAGTTCGAGGATGTAAGCACTAGAATTCTCCAGAGTTGAATTTGGAGCCACGGTTGCATGTTTGGAACCTTCGTGGAAAAATAAACTGAAATTAGAGATAAGAGAATGAGAACAAGGCTCACAATAAACAATAAGTGAATAATGAGAGAAGCACCATCAATTATGCTACGATTTCCTAAGTTGTTAGCCTGCAGAGATTTAGATATCTTTTGAGAAACTCTGATATTCCTTTCTTTGCCTACTTTGCACCGCCTTTCCACTGGGTTATAGTTCCTACACGCAGCACATTAATAAGGTAAACAGGTTTATCATCATTCCAGACAGAAATATGACGAGATTCAAATAATTTAATTGCAAAGGAATCATCATACTCATTCATAATGCCTCCATTTACAGAATCACAATAACGCTTCAGCCATTGTAAGAACTCCAAGTTATCTAGCGGACGACCTTTAACAAGCTTGTTGACTTCAATATGCTATCATGTATTCATGTTGCAAACGTATAAGAATTTGCAATAAATTTTGAATCTAAATTAAAAAACACACGCACATCAATGTGAAATGCTACTATACACACATATAACTATTATTTCTCTGTGCGCAAGCAACTGTTTCAGGAACTAAGATTGAAGGACATATATAGATCATTAGATGTACTCCAAATTATGAAGTTTATCTCACAGTCAAGCAGACTAAGAACATTTTAAATTGTTTCCAAATTGTCTTGAAGTTGATTCAAGGCTGAATCAAAATCAAAACCAAAATAGGTATAGAAAAGGGACGGCTTGGAAGTCATGATTGCATGAAAATATTACAAAATCCATAACGATGAGGCAATTACTATTTTCTATAAGCGTGAATTCTAACTAAAAGTGGATTTTGATCTAGCACCCTACCTAAAAAGTTATGAGTTTGGGGCGCTTTAGATTGAACTCAAAAGGCAGCTTGTTTCAATCAATTTTAGAGTTTCACCTGTAACGCCAGGGCTAGTCTTCGTTGCAACCTGGTTAACTGAACTAGACCATCCAAGGTATCAAGTGGTAAGGCATAGCCTTGTTCATTCGTATCATTGGGCTTGTGCAGCCTATATGCAGAATGTTAGGAGGACTCTTAGTCTCAGGGCAAATTTGTCTTTTATAAGCCTAAGGGCAGTTCGGTCTTTTATTATTATTATTATTGGGTATAAATAGACTTGTTATGTCTAGGCTTAGGGGCATATGCATGAGATTAAGTTGTGAGTCAAAGGTTTAGGTTTTGTGAGGGATTTCCGACCTCTCGAATTGTAGGAATTAGGAGAGAACGCATACCTCTTGAATCGTAGGTGCTTATCTTTGTGTTCTTGTTGAGTTGTTAGATTATTACAATAAAATTCCTGTTTATCATCATTTCTACAAAAATATGTGTCGATTTCTAAAATGAATGATATCAAATTGGTATTAGAGCTTTCAAATTCTAGGAAATTAACCACTCGATCGTTGCGGCCAATATTTCTTGTCGCCTTCTGAGTCAAGATTGCGAAAAGGGATCATTGTGTACAGAGCGGCTGCTACTTGGAAGTCGGATGGGATCAAGTCGTTGTTGGCGATAGAGTGATCGGGAAGGCTTCGACGAGAAGGATCGTGATTAACCAAGACACGAAACTCGCATCTTTCTTGCCTTCCTCTGTCACATGCAGCAACGACGGACGGGATCAAGACTTGCCTTTATGACTTAAACCTTCGTTACAATCACTAGCAGAACTTGCTGGGAAGGCAATGGTTGGGAAGCGATGCACAGAGACCCAAAACTCCCATTTTTTCTCTTCCTTCTGTGTCACTTGCGCGATCCAGTTAGGATTAGAGCTATATGGGAAGACAGGCGAGAGGGATAGCGGTGCACAGGGACCCGAAACTTTCATTTTTTTCTTGAATTGTAGGAATCGGGATGTCAACCCCTGGAATCGTGGGTGATTATCTTTGTGCTATTGTTGAATTGTTGGATTATTACAATAAAATTCTTTTTTTCCCTAATTTCTATGAAAATCTGTGTCAATTTCTACTTCGAATCATATCACAGAACTTGTTGCAACGATGCATAGGCAATGGCACACAAAAAAACCTTAATGGCAGCACCCTAAAGACCCTTTTTAACACATTATAGGAGGACTAAAATAATTCATGAATATGTAGGACTAGTAGTGGCATAAGTCCCGACTTTAAAGAGAAGCATGCAATTTTATCATGCATGTTGAGAATTAAAATTAGGATACCATACGCATGCACGCCGCGAGTGAGGGGGGTGCAAGGGTAGTAGAAAGAACTGAGGAAAAGAGTAAATAACATGAAGAACAAGATAAACGCTAAACACCATTTGCGCGGCGATCCAAGATACATCTGTAGAGCAAGGTTTGGATTGATCGAAACCTCACAAGATAAACAAACACAAGTCTAAAAACTTGTCTTTTCTTTCAGCCCACACAAAACAACCCCTATTTATAAAAGCTAGACTCTCCTAGTTACAACTGACATCATAAATCAAAACGACAAAAATAATAAACTAAAAGACATAAACCAAGACATATAAACTTAAATAAAACTCTAGCTCTTGTGTCATTCTCCCGGAATTGGCAAAGTTCTCTCATATTGAGCAATTTCATAATCTGATTCGTAATGAGTAGCTAACTCGAAAACATTGAAAGTGATGGAGCCGCTCTAATCCCCATATAGGTCAAATTCGGTGATCCAAGCATCTTCTAACATTGTCACTGTTGAAATTGGATCAAGGGGTTTCCAGCTCTAATTCTGAAGCATCTCAATCCACTCGACATCAATTTCTTGAGAACCAAGACTAATAGATGCAGTTCTGTTGTAAGATATTCATCTTCTCTCATATCAGGGTCGTAATGCAATGGCTGGGCTTTCAAGGTTGGTTATTGTCAAAGAAATGATGCCTAATCCATATGCTCATGTATATTAGCTTGTGTTGATGCCTGAGAAAAGAAAAATCAGCATATACTCTAGTTTGATCACTATGAAAATCTCATCTAGCATGAGAATCTTCACCATCAGCACTTCTGTCAACTACATATTTAGAATTTTCACTCTGGAAAAATTGTCTTCCTTCTGAGCATAATCATGATATGTGGCCAAAAAATAGTTATTGTCATATGCGTCGTACACGACCATTGACGGTGATTCCAAAATCTAATCTTCAACCGCATTGAAACTTAAGGCTTCTTGATCAAATGGTTTCACCTCCTTCCTCAAGAACATCAATTTTTTTTTATCCGTTGAAATTTTCTTGGTAAAATGGGTCTTCGACTTTTTCCTCCACCACCTCAATTTTTTGTTCAGCCGAACAATCCTTCAAATTTTTATGCGCCTCTGCGCCTCCTCTTGCATAGGAACCAAAGTAACTTGAGTACCATTGCCCAAGAAGGCGTTCATATCTACATGCCCGTCATTAAAGGTTTTGTGATCATATTGTCAATGACGTCTAATACACCAAAATAATATGTTGTTTTAAGTATATATTTTATGCTTATTTTTTTATATTTCACTTTAAAGAATGATATTTTCATGTTTTTGTTACAAGTATATCAATTTTTTATATTTTGAGCAAAGCAAAAAAGACGAAATTTGTAGCCAAAACAACGAATTTTGAGATTCTGGTGCCTAAAGCGCCAGAACTAACACCTGAAGCGCCACTTTACCGAGAGCGGTGCCTGAAGCGTCATTTGACAGAGAGCTGGCGCCTGAAGCGCCACTTTACAGAGAACTGGCGCTTAAAGCGCAATTTTATAGAGAACTAGTGTCAAAAGCGTCAAAACCTAGAACAACGCGGTCATAACCAGGATAGCGCCTGAAGCGCCAGAGACAAATTTTTGTGGATTAAGACATTTCAGGATGAATTTTGCATGAATTTTGAAAGAGACGCTTGTTCTAAACACCCCATAGAGTAATTCAATACATCTAGACACTTTGGAAGGTTCTTTTATAAAGAGATATATCTCTTGGATCAATATACATGTATTTTGAATTCAAAAATATTGACTTTTGGATAGAATTTTGGAGGGAATTTTGAATTCTTTTTTTAGGGAGGCAGCCTCTAATAAAAGAAAGGAAAGTCTAAGGCTTAAAAAAGAGAGTGAAGGGGGTGAAAAAAGAGTCTTGGGAGAGATTTTTTAAGAGGAAAGAAGAGAGAATGTGAGAGATTTCTTTTTCATTACTTTTCTAAAAGAGAATTGAGAGTGCTTGTAAAGAGGGTAAGTGCTTGAAGAGAACTTCTATGGATTTGTTTGAGAAGGATTGTGAGATAAGTTGTGTTCTTTTATTTCTTTGTTTTGTAAATTTATTTTTATATCTGAAATTCTTGTTTTGTTGTATCCTTCTCATGAATTCTGAGTAGCCTTCTTTATCCTTCTCCCTACTTTGAGATATGATTTTGTGAAAAATTGATTTTGTTTTATACGGTTTTAAATGTCAATAATTTGCGATAATTTAACTCTCATCTTTATTTATTTTTCGATTTAATCAATTGAAATGTTAAAAAATTTTGAGAAACATGTTTCGAAAGGGTTGTGATTTCTACAACATAGTGATAATCATATTTGATTCCATGGGAGAGGATGTCATTCATCGTGTTGAGAACAAATAAATAGTGAAATATACTTTGTTGGATGCAGAATTGAAGATTTTAAAGTGATACATTAAAATCTTCAAGTTAGCCCAATTGATTGGAAACTAATGTGAGATTGTTAGCCCTCAGATGATGGAGTAGTGAGAGCTCTGAAGTGGCAGTCCACGAAATTAGGACCAAACTTTGGATTCGTCAATATTTTTTATGCATTTGGAAGAGAGTAAATAATAAGATTGCACCTATTTGGCACAAAATAATTTATAAAAATATTTTTAAATGATTTTAATTTTTTTTATAATCCATATACTCATTGTAAAAAAGAATAATTTTTTTTTAAATTTGAACTCTTCGTCACAAAAACTTTGTTTAGTTTTCATAAGTTTACTTTTGAAAGTTTAACAATTAGTTTAATTAACTTAGTCTTTTAATTGCATTTTATTTAGCATTCACTCATTTACTCTAGATTCAAATTTTGTACTTCACTTTTGTAGTTTAAATTATAATTATAAGAATTTACCTATAAGCATTTCCAACTTCCCTGTGGGATCGATATCTAGGACTTCATTAGAGCACTTTATTACTTGAGCGATACATATAATTGTGTTATTTTTAGGGAATTTGACAGTTTAAAGATTTTTAAAAAAGATTAAACTATTTTCACAAAAATTATTTTTGTTGGGATTAAATTGCATATTTACTATTGTATCTGTCGTGTGTATTTTGTAATATTGAAAATATTTACAAAAATAACACACTAAATCCACCTGCATCAACGCCCTAGAAAAAGGTGGCAAAAATCCATTCGGTGATGTTGCATCACACATTCTCTTGAAATCTCTTCCTGATGTAGAATTGCACC